CCCCAAAACCCCAAAACCCCAAAACCCCAAAACCCCAATGTAGTTTAAAGAGATTGAAGGTTTGAAAATAAATCTATAAATATTTTCAAGCTGAATATCAAAATTGTCATTCTTCATAATCTAAATTTTTCTTAAATAGTCTCTTGGTATATTGTGCTATTGATTAGATTTATTGGTATTTACTTTGGAATGTCAGAGTGCTTAATGACTATAATATTGTTTTAAACAACTTACTTTCTTCTCTATGAGTCGCAAGTTTAGCATTGAGGCTAGACTGGAAGTGGATCCTTGCTTTCTTTATCTGCTTTCCTAAAATTTAGTTAAAATTATAACCATACTTTTGCATGATTTTGCTTTGGTGCTACTAGTTGTGATGCTTTTACCTAAAGCATAATTAAAAAATTACTGTTCCTTTTTGTTTTATTTGATATCTTTAAATACTTCCTATTGGCTCTTTTACGTTTGATGTTTTCAATTCTGTGAATCATTTCAGGATTCTCTTCTATGTAATCATCGAATGGCTTACCAATATATCAGAACTCATCCATGAGATTCTTTCTAATTCTTACTTTACTGTAAGGTGTGAGCTTCTAGAAGATAAGCTTTCTAGTTACAGGTTCATGCTTATCGCTCTTGTTTGAAAAGAAGTGCTTTTGAGAGTTCCTATTATTTTCTATTTGTGGTCACTATTGGTTTTAAATTAGCAGTCTTTGGTCTCTGTCTTTGGGGTCTCTAAATATTAAAGTTTCAGCAAAACCTCTGGACTTTTTGATATTTCACCAGAAATTGAATTTTCTTTGGTGTTTGCTCTATCTCTACTAAGGCTGTTCTTCATCTTAAAGTGTTTGTCCTAATAAAGTCAGGTATATATTACTTTTCTCTTTTGAGATAATCTTGACTTATTGCTCCTATTAGCAATTTGACTCTTTAGTCTAGGCCTCTGCTTTTCTTTAATCTTTTTCATCTCAAAAGCTACCAGATTTTGATTGATTTACTTACCATGCGAGAAGCCTAGATAATTCTTTGAACTTTTCTTTGTTGAGAATCCACCACTATTGTTCAAAGTACTTCCATTCTTAGGACTTGAGATGTATGATTCCTCAATCCCTCAAAGAAATTTGCTGGTCGACTGCTTACGGAATCGGAGAAGTTTCTTTGATGAAAATATAGATTTTCTCTTTCTCTTTTTTCTACTTAGTTCACCTTCTTCATCTGTATAGTTAAAGTAAATAAGAACCTTGTGCATTAGAGAGAGCTCTCATTCTTTCATTGTGCACTATATTTATGCCAAATTTGTACTTTTAAAGCCATAGAACTCGTCATGAAGATTGTCATGCATTTTGACGCTATCGACTATAATAATTACTCGAGGTCCTAACTTAGGTCTCTCACAAGGCATCGCTTAGAGTTTTTACTAATGATTCCTATAATAAACACGTTTATTAACAAAGTTTACAGTTTGTGAGAACCTGCCACAACTTATTAGTCCTATCTTCTGTGTAATCTGATGTTTCAAAGTTGATCTCTGGGTATCCAAACAAGGGTATTTTATTTCCTAATAGTTCATTAAATGAGGAATATGCCTTTATTGACTATGAAGTCTTCAAGGTTGTCATTATGGCTATGATTCAGAGGTTATTCCAAAGATCAGCAAGATTTTTAGCTTATTGGCTTACGTAAATGCTCTTATCTATGAAAACGGTTAAATTTATTCATTAATCTTTTACCTTGGATGCGTAATGCTCAGGATCAAATTTTTCAGAGGAGAACTTGAAATTTTGAGGGAATTTGGCAGACCCTTCTTTGTTCATGTTTGTGTCCAAAGTGAAGCCAACATGAGGCTCTTTGTCGCCCATTAATAAAATAAAATTTTATCAACTTTTATTCCGGTTTGGGGTTTTGGGGTTTTGGGGTTTTGGGGGGGTTTTGGGGTTTTGGGGTTTTGGGG